ATATTTATCCGAAACCCCATATATTTATCTGTAAGTCTGTATACCCCTTTTAGATCCTGAAGACAAATGTCGATATAACACGTCAAATCTCAAATCTGAAGGGGAAAAAACCACGTGTTAAGACCTAGGCGTAGATAGAAGGATAATATTAAAATTGTTCTTAGAGAATTCGTATGGTATGGAGTGGATTGGATTCGTCTGGGTTATAATAGAGACCAGTAACAGGCTGTCATGAACACTGTGATAAACGATTTTATCATTAAGTTTTAAGCCGATGACGGAAATGTGTTTTGACTAGATGTAATCGATTGTAGGCGCAGCTGTGTCGGGAGCTGGAGCTGCGGTCACAGGAAGCAGACCGGCCTATAACAAGGACCGCTGCTTTACCCTGCTCGTAATCGACGATCAAAACACCGACTGGTGAGTACTGGGTGTTTACAAAATTCTGTCTGCCTCTTAACGAGAGACAGGAATCGAATCAGTTCCCACGTAAAGTTGTTAAGGTTAATTAAGAATGACTTAGTGAGTCGAAAACGAATTTTTAATAAGTCCCGATGTGTTTAAAAATACAGTTGTTGAGACGTGAAAATCTTAATCTATTTTTATTTGCGTAGTGAAGAATTGTGGACTTTTTAAAATGGTTGTTAGATGCAGAATGTTTGTCTAAAAGTATATCTTTCTGCGTGAATCCTTCTAGCCCGTACCGCTAAGAAAACAATAACTCGCTGTTAAAAACGTTAAGCTTGTTAATGCTGATTAAGGAAATAATAGCTGTTTACAGTAAGAAGTGTGTAAAAGCAGTTAATATACTGTGGATTCCGGTTAATTGGGACACTTCGGGACTAGAACACTTTGGCCCAATTATGCGAAGTTCCACGTAAATATTTAAAAAAGGTTTGTTCTTTAAGATTTGTCCCAAATAAACGACTTCCCCGATTAATCGACGGTCCATTTAACTGGAATATACTGTAATTTTTTTTTGGATAAAATTGAGGGTTATTGAATATAAGATCAGGTGGTACTTATAGTTACCATTGTGATTTAAAGGGTTAAACAAATGTAAAAAGATGAATACACATTAAATGTACGTGGTTCAGAATGCAAAGAGCTGTAATTTGTGTTTGTCAAATTATGACGTGGATTGATGATAGTTACTGGGTTTCGAGTCGTATTTGTTAAAAGCTAAGTTATGTTCTACCATCTGTCAACCAGCGTCATTTCAACGCAAGCTTTAGATTCTTGTTTGCTTTTAACGAATGCATTCGTGTATTTCGAAACTTTGTTTTTCATTTGTTTGAGTTCGTACGTTTATCTGTTTAATTACGAGTTTGTGAAAGTGGGTGTTTCCTACCGAAAGCTGACTTGCAAAGAGGAAATGTTTACAGCAGCTTTCGTCAGTCAGAGATCGTCGTATGCAAAGAGTGTAGTCAGGGCCTCGGTCTTCATATGATTCGACTAGTGCTGACATCTGTGTGTTGTTGCACATACCCAGTTCATTTACTCGCCATGTACACGAATTGCTCTTATAACAGTTGAGTCACTTCAAACGTTAATTGGAACTTTTGTTCCCGCCAGTCAAATAAGCATTCTTATTCCGAACAAAATGGCTGACTCTGAATAGCTTATTACAGATTTCTATATACCGGGTGATGCCAAAATGTTTTTTTTAAAAAAATGAACATTTTTAATGAAACTCACAAAAGCTGTTTGCAAAATTATTTGTTAGATACGAGTAATATATTAAATAGAACAATGTTTTCTCATTACGAATGTTAAAATTGGTATTTTATATATATTTTTTGGTCAGATTGTTGTCGGGAGTTTTTGTTCGACAAGATCGCCATTCTATTCACGTTTTTAAGACAAATAAAATTGTAATATGAACTTTTTTTTTGGATATATTAGTCGTAGAAGGATATTCTGAAATGAGTGTTAGCAAATATTCCCAGAAATTAATCTGCTCTGTGTTTCACAGTGAATTGCAATTTTGATGTTATAATTTTTACCAAATAGATCCTTAACCCTAATTGAACTTTATAACATTTTAGAATGATATACTCACCTTTTCAAGTGTGTGACCTTGAGTCTGGTTTCAAGATATCAGCAGATGTTTTAATGGAACTGAAATGGCGATTATTTGTTGACGTATGGAAAACAATATTACTTCAGAGGGTTAATATAAAGTTTTCATTAAATGAGATATATATATATAACATGACGAAATATGTTTTTAAAGCACGACTCTTATGAAGAGGTTCGTACCGTTTAGAGCTGATGGCTGTGACAACGGAATGTAGAAACATTGTCACTTCGAACGTCTGACAAAGACAGTGTAAGCACATTAGAGGTGATCGGGTAAGGTTGCTTTAACCCGTATTTAACCTACACCACACTTGAACGTGTAGTAGCTTATAGGTCTTCCCAGTGTCCAGTGCAAGGCTAGCTCGATACGAACAAATACACTACGTTAAATGTTCATAAGAATCTGAAACACGCAGTTGTTGTTTATGAGAATAATAGCTAAATGTATACCTGTGGATGGTATTCGTTGATATCTGTTAGCTTTATAGTCACATTGGTTGAAATGTGAAAGTCTTCTACGATGTTGCGCCGTATACTCTGGTAGATTTTCACCGACGTTTCAGAGGTGTTTACTGCCTGATGAAGGCATTAAGTAACCTGTGAAACACCCGATCAATTTCTACCACTCTACTTCAACGTGTTTTTTAAATCTTTCATTACGTCTCAGTGGTCAAGCTATTTTACCTACAGCTTCGTTTTGTCCGTTCGCCGTGGACATCTGTAGTGCGATTATATTATGAAGTTCAGGACTTTGCAAATACAAAGTAATATAAATGCGTAGGAATTTAATTAAAGTCAGAATTGTGCACGGACCATTTTATACGAGAAACAAGCGAAGGTTCTGGAGGGGAAAATCCATTATGCACGTTACTAAATGAAAAGTCTGGTGGAGTACGAGAAAAACAAACAAACAAACATTGGCCTTGTAATCCTGGGGTCTCGGGTTCGAATTTATAACTTGTGTTGGGCAAGGCCGTGGTCTAGGCAACACGGAGTTTTCCTCCGTGGCATCCCAACAATTACTCCATTCACACACAGAAGAAGGCAATGGCAAACCACTTCTGGATCATCTGCCAAGAACGTATATGAACAGGTCCCAGTCCGAGAAAAGGATGGAAGATCCTGTTCATATGGACCTGTCGTCAGACAGAACACTAAATAAATAAATATAAACGAAAAGGCAGTGTGAAGAATTGGACAACGCTTACGATGACTCAAACTGGATAAGTGTTATTACAGTAATAATTTGCTTTTAATCGGTGGGAATGAACCGTATGACATGAAATGAATTTTTATGAGTATCTGAAATGTATTTTTCTCTGTGGTGAGAAATTTACTTAGCACAGAATTGTATTTTCAGTACTTGATGCAAAGGGTTTATTAAGTTAGATTAAAGAGAAGAATAATAATTCGGATTTTATGGAGTCAGAATTATTATTACCGTGTTCAGAAAACCCACATAGAGTTAGCGAGACACTCAGTTATGTTCTTGTAACAGAATTAGTGTGTGTCAGAATACGAAAACTTTGCAGGATTTAAAATATATCGAATATATGGTAATTACGTAAAAATATCGAGGCGTTTAAAAATCAAATAATTTAGGAACTGTACGTGTAAGGTTAAATTCTGGCATTTTCGACACTATTTGACCTCTGACCTTACTGAATGGCAGGGGAAGGCCCCCACATGTCAACAGATTTTTGTAAAACTGTACAATGTATAATTTCATGGAAATGTATTCAGCTGTTCTCGAGTTGTTACGTGCGTACGGACAGACAGGCGAGAGCTTTCAATACGCCCTCTGCAGTGATGCATTGACTCAAAATAACTTACACATGGCAATGCTTGCATAACAAAACACTGTATACTATCAATTTTTGGCAGAATGTTACTAAAATATATACCAATTAAAGATAATGTAATTAAAATTATTTTTATAAAAAAAACAGAGATGATGAGTATAATGTGGTCTGCCATACGAAGTTTCATCCAAATCGGTCGCTGTTACGGACGAATGAACGTCACATAATTCACGTTAGTTTTTTTTAGACGAAAGTCAGATTTGTTAAACGTAGTTTAACATTTAACATTTTGGTGTGTTACATCGGAATTACATTAGACATCGTCCATCGCCTAAAAGTTTTAATAACCCGACGTTTCGGGAGGTAATAATCGTGCAAACGGATCGGTATTACATCAATGGTATAGTTGAAATGAAATGAAATAAATCTGGCGCTAAACAAATTCCTTAAATATTTTTATATTTTTGCGCCGAAATTATATATCTGAAAATTGTTTTTAAATATGATACTAATAATTTGAAGCAAGAAGCTCCTATGAATCGTCAGATTAATGGAAATTGTTCGTTTTGGAATAAACTGTGTATCTCGTTTCTCCACGCGTGTTACATGTGATGTTTCCTTAACAGGTCGAAATACTTCAGAGGTAAGCGGTTACATGGGGACTATGACATCCGCGTGGAGCAGGCGGAGTTCAAAGAACTGTCTCTGACTGCCAACGCCGAGTCGGGGACCACAGTTAGCATGGCCGTCTTCCGCAACGGAACGAAAGTCGTGCGTTCTTTTCGACCGGATTTCGTTCTTATACGCCAGAACTTAAGAGACGCTGGCGAAAACAATAAGAATCTGCTCTTGGGATTTAAATTCGGCGGTGTCCCGAGTATAAACTCTCTGCACGCCATCTATAACTTTCAGGTAAGAAAAATCTTCTCATGATACAGGCAGCGAATCTCCGAAACGTCGGTAAAACTTCCACCAGATTACACGTCGCTAGAACCCAGAACACTGCCATCTTGGGGGAGTTTCATACCAATGTTTCGGAGATAAATTTTTCTTCCATCTTCAGGGCCAGAATATCGATATCGAAATATATAAATCTGTGGTAAATTAAAAATATTATTTTGCAGGTTTTAAGTTATTTATTTTTTTTAGTTTTCATTACAAATTAGTTTATAATATACAAGCTCTGTGTGTATGGTACACAGTGGTTTTATTTATGTGACAGGATAAACCGTGGGTCTTCGCCCATCTGCTTCTGCTACAGCGGCGCCTTGGGAAAGAGAATTTTCCTTTGATCGAGCAAACATTTTACCCCAACTATCGCGAGATGGTAAGTACCATTCTTATTTCGTACCAAGTTCTGAAGAGCATAACCTCACATTTAAGAGCCATTAAGTTAATATTTAAATTTAATAAATCTCTTTGAACTGGTAAATATTAATGAAATTCTGATAACTCCTGGGAATTTACATAAAACCTAATTCGTGTTCTCTTACTACGTCTGTGCTTTATAGTTTTATATTTGTCAGTAAGATACTGACATTAATTTGCGTAAGAATGTCTAGATATAGAAATTCATTTTAAAATCAAAATAATATATAAAATAAATTGATTTTAAATTTTATTAAACATGAACGAGATGGCAATGAATGATTTGTGTTTAGATAACTGTAAATTTTGTTCTTCAAATAACATTTACGTATTTTTTTTAGAATAAATTAAATAATACCTTAAACCACATTACAGTAATTTTATTATTAAGTATTTAATTTATATCGGTTGCTCAACTTATTAGATTGGTTATAATAAAATCATGTTTGAGATGGCTCTTCAGAGATTGGTGAAAAATTTTACAATTTAGATTTTATCGTCTGTAGTATTAACGTAATAACAAATCTGTTATCAATATTGCCTGGGAATATATAAAATGAATTATGAAAAACATATTTTACATAATTTATTCACAGGTACTTGGATTATTGGAAATATTTAGGGAAAATTTCAGCATTAATTTTAATTATATAAACATACATAAACTTTCTTTTAACACTGCTCATATACATAAGTAACGCTATAAAAAATCTACGTAATTTCCTTGACTACGAAGTCGAACGGGGCCATTAATGTTACATAATCGATATATTTTACAAAATTAAAATATGCATAATAATTTTTATGATTAGCGAAATTCCGTTGCATTAAATTGTATTAACAGGAATGGCTGTATCTGATAGAAAGTGATTTATAAGATAACATTAAGTAATAAAACTGAAAGGTTTGGTAAAAATAGTGGACAGTTTATCGCTGAACCGTCAGTCAGTTATATTTGATATTTGTTTCATCGATACTATCGATTCTAAGGCGCAGATAAACGCGGGATATCCTATTCATGATATCAGCATGAGGGAGTTTAAGTTTGTACATGTTCACGATATACAGTACTATACTAAAGTATACAGAGTGTCCCATAAGTCCTGGGCCACAGGCCCATAACGGTCTAGTCGTAGGTAAACAATTTCAATACCTGATACTGGAAACACGTGATTTGTAACAATTATTCCGTGTTTGTATTTCTTTGTGTTTTGTCTAATAACAGTTCTGCTATCGCGGTGAACTTATGGGACACTCTGTATAATGTAATGTCTATGGCAATCGAAGTTCAATTTTTCCCAAGAATATCTAACAGCTAACTACAAATACTTATGACATTTGTACTTAGTTTTAGAATTTCAGATCCTTTAAAATAAATAAATAATTAGCAACATTAATCAAGAATAATGTTTCGACGTAAATATGAGTGATTAGCATATTTACCAACACTGTCTAAAATGCGGATTTAGTCAACAATTTTATCTTGCAGTCGAAAGTTAATGAATGAGAATTTTGATTAGTGTTTACAGTTAACGTTCTAATTAATGAAATCAACACATTCAGAATTGGGTTCACAGATAATTTAATGACGTTTTAACGTTTTGATGTAAAGAACCAATTCGAAATTTTCGTGTTTTCATAGGCGCATATTTTATATGCAGGTAAACCAACTTACCAACAAAATCGGGCTGTCGAAATAATGCGATGTGTAAAAAAACGGTCCCTAGGAATCTCGTCGTATTTAATGTCTTCTCGTATTTGTTTAATTGCATTTACGAAATATAATTTTTTTTAAAAAAAATTTCTTACTGTAATCGAATATTGTACACCAACGTTAAACCAACTTACCAACAAAATCGAACTGTCGAAATAATGTGAATCTCGTCGTATTTAATGTCTTCTCGTATTTGTTTAATTGCATTTACGAAATATAATTTTTTTTAAAAAAAATTTCTTACTGTACACCAACGTTAATACGTCAAGAATTCTGCGAAGAATACGTATCTTGTCATATTGTTAACTATGTTTAGTTGAACGCGTTGAGAAATGTTACAGAAAAAGAAAATATCATCAGGTCATATAATTCAACTTCAGTTTATGATTCTCGTTCAAGGTTCATTTCTTCTTCTCTCGTCCCTCATTCGACGACGTTCCTTCATACACTCGCGGTATTTCTTATCCGTTGACCAGCCACAGTTTCCGCTAGGGGTCTTCATACAGATGCCATGTTTTGATTGGCAGTCGGGTAGCGACGCGTCAGAAAACACGCTCGACTCCCAGAGGCACGCATCTGCTTCTAGTCTGTCCCTGGGACATTGTTTCCACCATGGACAGTCGATTATCTGGAACGAATTATATCCTGAGATCAGGGGGGGTTATCTCTTTTAAAATATCGTGGTAACTATATGTACCACCTACCTGAATATTGACTAAACTTGAATTTTACTCACAGTGTATTGTTTTTTATGTATGTATTAATATATAGAAACCATTTCCTGAAACACCTTCAACCACCTGATCTTCGTAATGGTCACGTGTTGTGTTTTCTTCGCGGTACGGACTGAATTATTAAATATTAATTAGACGAGCTTCGGGTTTAAAGGGTTGATGAACATTGGTTTTTTTCACCATGAGTATGAAGGTATACTTTAATTATGATGATGATAACAATTATCATCACAGAGTTAGAGATTTCAGTGAGAATATTGGACATTTGTGAGTCTTGGTCTTATGGGTTGAAATTTCGCGTTGACATATAAGTAGATGCCAATGTTTCGGAGCAGTATGGTGCCTCTGTCTTCAGGACTGAAAATAGAGGCATAAACTGGAACGACGATGCTGCGAGTTCAAACACAAATTATGTACTCCTTAAATGAATAAAACTAACACCCAAAATTAGCACATAAAAGTTTGATGACGTTTATTGAAACACCAGTTGCAAGACTTAGGCAACATTGAGAGTATAATATTAAAATGGAACTTAGATTAATGTTTGATTTGTCGTTCTTTGTCAAGCGCACATTTTATCACAGAGACAATTACTGCCAAATATTTATGACATTAACATTTTTTTATATCAGGTAATAATATGCAATATTACAAAAATACACGCGGATACACGTTTATAATCCCTGCCCAAAGTTATTTATTTCTTATTCAGAATCTTGACAAAATTACTGAAGGAGAAAGGCTGTTCTTCAATTGGAATGTGCGTTTTTATAAATCTTACTTCATATTTGGGGGAAATGACGCATGAAATAGCAGTTGGGTAACTGT